ATGGGAGAGCTGCTAACATAAGCACTGAAAGATGTTTTACACAGACAGTTATTTCCCATAACTAAACAAAAGTGACTCATCAGTCTATGGAGAGAGAGAGAGAGAGAGAGGGAGATCAGGGGAAGGCAGAGGGCAGTTAGACATCTGAAGCTTCTTGTGTCATTCAGCAAAAAGGTTACAAATCACTGAGGGGCACAATATCACTGCTCTGGTTTTATAGGACAGAGGAAAAGGGGGTAACATGTGGCGTCTTTTAATCTGTGCACACACAAATCTCAGGCCTGCCCTGCACTCTCTCAGTAAATCTTAGCAGGAGAAGAGGTGGGAGCAGGCAATGTGTCAGAGACTCTTTACTCTGCCTGTCTTTTCATTCATTTCCCATTAACTCCCAGCATGCTCGCTGTTTATGTTCCACTGGCATGTAGGGAGGGTCAGACCAGCACTGCTAACACAGCAGCGGCTCCCAGTGTAAAATGCTATGAGAATTACATGGTTTGATGAAACACACATTGATTGTATGAGAATATCTCTGGCGAACATGTCCATGTAACACTTCACCCAAAAATTACATGAAACATTTTACAAAATGTGACCCTGGACCACAAAACCTTAAGTCTTAAGTTGCTTGGGTATATTTGTAGCAATAGCCAAAAATACATTGTATGGGTCAAAATTATAGATTTTTCTTTTATGCTAAAAATCATTAGGACATTAAGTAAAGATCATGTTTTGCAAATTTTGTAAATTTCCTATTGTAAATATATCAAAACATAATTTTTGATTAGTAATATGCATTGCTAAGAACTTCATTTGGACAACTTTAAAGGCGATTTTCTCAATATTTAGATTTTTCTGCACCCTCAGATTCCAGATTTTCAAATAGTTGTATCTCGGCCAAATATTGTCCTATCCTAACAAACCATACATCAATGGAAAGCTTATTTATTCAGATTTCAGATGATGTATAAGTCTCAATTTCAAAAAACTGACACTTATGACTGGTTTTGTGGTCCAGGGTCACAAATATGGACAACTGTTTGAAAGACATTATTACTATACTTTTACTCAACAATAAATGCTTTCTATTAATCAAAGTATCATGGTTTCAAGAAGAATATTACACAGATAAAAACATTTCAACATTGATATTAATAAGAAATGACTCTTGATCAGAAAATCAGCGTATTATAATGATTTCTGAAGGATCATGTGACACTGAAGACTGGAGTAATGACTGCTGAAAATTCAGAATTTTTTAAAAAATATATTCAAAACAGACAACAGTTATTTTAAACTGTAATAATATTTCACAATATTACTTTTACTGTATTATAAATTAGTTATTGTATTTTAAAGTTTCAAATAAATGCAGCATTGGTGTGCTTGGTGCTGATGTCACAGTAATAATGTCATAATACAAAAACTCTTACTGGCTCTAAAATCAAGAGGTTTCATAAGCTAAATAAATATTTTTTATACTGTATGTTCATATCATTTCTCCCTCTGTACCAATAAGAAACCATTTGTGTATCTCTGGAAATATTCTTATAAAATATAATCCATTAAAAACACAAAGTCTGGTCAGTAACTAAGCCTCTGATGCCATTTCTACTACAGAGAGGAAGAGAGGTCGTTCTCCTGAAGGAAACAGACAGCTGCTAAAACGAGTTTGAGCATAGATTGAGAGCTGCAGGGGCGGAGCAGCTGCTTAGACCACACACACACACACACACACACACACACACACACACACAACACACAAAATCCTGACGAACTGATATTTCACAATATTACTTTTACTGTATTATAAATTAGTTATTGTATTTTAAAGTTTCAAATAAATGCAGCATTGGTGTGCTTGGTGCTGATGTCACAGTAATAATGTCATAATACAAAAACTCTTACTGGCTCTAAAATCAAGAGGTTTCATAAGCTAAATAAATATTTTTTATACTGTATGTTCATATCATTTCTCCCTCTGTACCAATAAGAAACCATTTGTGTATCTCTGGAAATATTCTTATAAAATATAATCCATTAAAAACACAAAGTCTGGTCAGTAACTAAGCCTCTGATGCCATTTCTACTACAGAGAGGAAGAGAGGTCGTTCTCCTGAAGGAAACAGACAGCTGCTAAAACGAGTTTGAGCATAGATTGAGAGCTGCAGGGGCGGAGCAGCTGCTTAGACCACACACACACACACACACACACACACACAAAACACAAAATCCTGAAGAACTGCCAGTCATGTGCTCAAACTGCATACTAACCAGATGAGTGGAGCCAAAGGGGCCAAATCTGTAATCTGAAAAAGGGCACTCTCCTGGTTGTGATTTCACCACAACCATGGTAGTGCATCAAAAACATGGTATTACTATAGTGCCATGTTCAAAAATCTATTGTCAATAATAAATCCTATCCTCCAAACCCTGCCCTCTGACCCTTACAGCCCCTCCCATCTAGACTCCACTCGGCCAGTATCCATGCCACTGTCACACTCGGCACTGGTCATCCATCATGAGCCTGACCCCCGTACAAAATACACTTCAAAGTGCTGGATGGCACCTTTATTCAAATTTCCCTGTGGGGTAAAAACTCAGCCAGACACATATTCACGCCATTAATCAATGTCCAGGCTCCCGCAGAAGCGATAATCAGCTGTGACGGCAAGGAAATGCTTGTTCCCACTGAGTACAACTCTGCTGATGCCTGTAAAATTGACATCAACACAATTTTTGCAGATTATTATGTTTATCTTAGTCAGTTGAGTTTCAACAGATTTAAAGCAGTCGCTTACTTTTTCATACAGTGGTTTTGCTGTTTCCTAACCAGGTGTCACCTGGCAAGATTTTAACATGTAATTCATCTGTATTCACTGAAAAGCTGTGCAACAAGAACCATGAACCAAAACACTAGTGACGGCTGTGTTCGAAACACTGCTTTGCGAAGCTTCAATATGTTTACGAATCATTTGTTTCTAATCAGTGATTCAGAGCACATATCAAAATGAAAGGGATAGTTCACCCAAAAATGAAAATTCTGTTATTAATTACTCACCCTCATGTCGTTCCAAACACGTAAGACCTTCGTTCATCTTCGGAACACAAATGAAGATATTTTTGATGAAATCCGAGAGCTCTCTGACCCTCCCATAGACAGAAAGGTAGTAAGGACATCAGTAAAACAGTCAATGTGACATCAGTGGCTCAACTTCAATTTTGCAATGTTACGAGAATGCTTTTTTGTGCACAAAGAAAACAAAAATCAGCATTGTTTACGCTCAGGGGAAAGCGCGTGCATGCGTCGTGGTACTCTCCAAAATGTCGGAAGACGGTAACTCGGGGGAGAAGAATTGATAAATTAATTATGTTATATTTGTTTTCTTTGCGCACAAAAAGTATTTTCGTAGCTTCGCAAAATTGAAGTTGAACCACTGATTTCACATGGACTGTTTTACTGATGTCCTTACTACGTTTCTGTCTGGTCAGAGAGCTCTCGGATTTCATCAAAAATATCTTCATTTGTCTTACGGGTTTGGAACGACATGACGGTGAGTAATTAATGACAGAATTTTCATCTTGGGGTGAACTAACCCTTGAACTCGTACATCATTTCAGCATGTTTGCTTCTTTAGACACCATTTCAAAGTGCCTAAATATTTACTAATATCAAGACTAGTAAATATGGAATTTACTAATATCATAGATTATAATGTAAACACTTGCAATTGTTTGAAGAACATGTCATTAAACACTGTAAAAGCACGTTTAACGGCATGTTCTTCTAAACCAGGGGTGTCAAACTCAGTTCCTGGAGGGCCAGAGCCCTGCAGAGTTTAGATTCAACCCTAATTAAACACACCTGATCCAACTAATCAAGTCCTTCAGGCTTATTTGAAAACTACATGGTATGTATGTTGGAGCAGGGTTGGAACTAAACTCTGCAGGGCTGCAGCCCTCCAGGAACTGAGTTTGACACCCCTGTTCTAAACAATTGCAAGTGTTCTCATTACATTTACAGGCCAGCAGAGTTCCTCAGCGTGCAAACTGTCGAGCACTTCAAGTGAATAATTTTGCTAAGGAATTGGTTCACTTGATTCAAAGTCTTGAAAAGCTCCCCCTGTTTTAATTTAGCTAATCATGGCCATGACTGAACTAAAACAAGGGAACAAATTGTACTAATTCACACATTGTACTAATTTGTTCCCTCACTTTAATTTAGTTAAATATTGCCACAATTATATAAAAAGAGTATACTAATTCGCCAGTTGTACTAATTTGTTTCCTTATGTTAATTTTGTTTAATCGTGGACACAAATAATTAACTAAAATTAGGAAACAAGTTAGTACAACAAGGCCACAATAAAATAAGCAAACAAATCAATAGGTCACAGAAACAAATTCTTAATTTGTGGCCATGATATCTTGGATTTTTTTTTTCTTGGTTCATATTTGCTAAACACATAACTTGTATTTTCATAACTCTCCAAACGACATGCTTTTTACGGTTTTAATTGTGGAATCTGTCAAAATATGTTTCTTACCTTTCATAATCGGTCCTCATCCATGTTTGATGTTTAATAAACATGAATATATTGAATATACATGAAGAGCTGTACTGTGTTCCATGGAGATGTTAGTATGGGCGGGGCTACCCTGTATGACTACTGTCAAATGTTACATCACCTAATTAATATTCATGAGAAGGGTGTTCAAGATTTATAATGCATTCTCTTACCTTTTCAGATCCTTCGCCCTGATCCAAGGCAACTCTGAGTGCATTTTCATCATGCTTTACAGATCATTAGCTTTTAGTGTCTTTAATTAACTGAGCCTAATTAAAACGAACACGGTGAGAGGTAAAAGTTATGACACTGGGTCCATTAAAGCCTGCTTGTTCTGTATGGCTGGGCTAAATGAATGATGGAAATCAATTCCATATGTCATGTCTGTTTCTCCAGAGCTGACAGCAAGGATAGAGAGACATACTTTTGTCTTACCTTGCACAAAGGCCCAGAGAGCAGCTCCTAAAATGCTGCTGGGATCCAAGACGGATGGAGACTTTACACATCCCACAGAGTCCCACAGCAGCGTCCACCTCCGCTCACACACACTCCTGCATGGATACACACACATACACAGGGTCAGGTGAAGTTCTGGAGCATGCAAAACACATTCACCAGAGGAAAGCCGAGGGAAAATTCATAATTACTATTAAAAAGTTCCATACGTCTAGTAAAAACAATAATAAAGTATAAGAGAACATCTAGAGAGCCTCTACCATCTGTTCATCTCTACAGGCGATACGACTGAGTTCAAGTATGCATACTGTACGTCACACACCTGCTATGGAGTATTAGTTGCATGGTGTCAAGGTGAAAAGCCTGTTATTATGTTACCATGAAAGCATGATAAGGTCATGGCTTTCTGAGGGGCCCGTAGTTTTTCTTTCTTTGTATTTGGCCATCAGACAGTGAGTTCACATGGGTTTCAGTGGACATAAAGCCAAGAGAGATTGCATTTTGTCAGGTACTGTATAATCTGTGAAAGTTTCAAGTTAATCAAACTGAAATTTCTCCTCAGTACGTTATATCTGAGAGGAGTGGAAGAGCACACTGCCCCCCACTGGATACCAACCAACACTACCTCTGTGTGAGAAACCATAATAACTCATATAAAACTTAGCCACTTTGACTCAGGACTTTTTAGACAACCTGAATTTGGAAGTCAATGAATTTGGAAGAAATGAGTTTCAGCGCGTTGTATCATATGTGACAAACATCTATGCATAGAGTGTTTCTGCTCTGCTATGTCCATACTGTAAGTGTATGAATGAAACAAAAAGTCTAATGTAATGTTTTTTAAGTGTGCAAAATCTGAAAGACTACGGTACACTACAGTTACCTTACAGATCTTTTTTTGCTGTTGTTGTTGTTGTTGTTGCTGCTGTTTTTGAAAGAAAAAAGTACTTTATTCAGGAAGTAAGCATTAAATCGATCAAAAATGACAGTAAAGACACATTTACAACGTGAAAAAAAACAACAACATTTAAATAAATGCTGCTCTTTTGAACTTTATATTCAAAAAATCCTGAAAAAAATATCATGGTTCACACAAAATGTTTCTTCAGCAGCAAATCAGAATATTAAAAAAAATGATTTCTAAAAGATCATGTGACACTGAAGATTGGAGAAATGCTAAAGAAAATTCAGCTTTGCATCACAGGAATAAATTACATTTTAAAATATATTAAAATATAAAACAGTTATTTTAATTTGAAATAATATTTCACAATAGTACTGCTTTTACACTATTTTTGATTAAATAAATACAGCCTTGGTAAAATTTATTTCATGGTAAAATTGTTCCCTACCCCAAACTTTTGAATGGCATACCATATCCATATAGCATACCACACCATATCCATATAGTATGGATCCAGTGTTCAAACTCAACACACTGGAGTAAAAAGTGCTTCAAACCTGCTGCACACTCATTTACAAAATAAATAAAAAACTACAACCGCAATACCTGCTCATAACTGCACAGAGGGATATGAGATATCACCACTGGGTTTACCCATAGTCCTCTACGGTTGAATCTGCAGGGACTGTCCTCTCTCTACCCTTATACACTTAAGCAGGAATGCTAGTTAACTGTTTACTCTGGTTTTAATAAAACCAGTGAAGAATGAAGTGGAGATTAGAGAGGAATGTGTCTATGGTTATCTCTTCTCTTCAGTTATCGACAGTCTCATATAGTGTGTGCTACCCCTTCTAAAGTGGGTCACATCTACATGGGCTGCCAGCCATGCACAAACACACACTAACACACACATACATTCAACTGCGTGACACACGTGGGGAGGAGAGGGGAAACGGTGGATCACACGTGCCTGAGCCTGTCTGCTTCACAGAAAGGGGGAGCGACTGGGAAAATAAAGGGGGTGAATGGAGGTCTAAGACAGTTAAACATAACAAAAAGAACACTGGTGTGGAAACTATTTTTAAACCGCAGCTTTCCAAGTTACATGAAAGTTGTTAGCTACAGTACACACTACTAACAAAAGTAGCTAACTATATTGAAGGGGCAATATTATAAAAAATATACGAAACAACTGTGGACTCGTGGCTACGGCCGAATTACAGCTGTACTAGTAATCAAGACTCTAGCTTAATTATATAGCCTAAATACTGTATATAACTATTAGATGATTATTTACAAATCATGTTTAATATAAGTCTCTTATGCTAACTATGGTGGCATTATTTGAAAAAAAACAACAACAAAAAAACAGTAAAAATATATTCCTGTGATGGCAAAGCTGAATTTTCAGCATCATTACTCCAGTCTTCAGAGTCACATGATCCTTCAGAAATTATTCTAATATGCTGATTTGCTGCTCAAGAAACATTTATTATTATTATCAATGTTGAACACAGTTGTGCTGCTTCATATCTTTGTGGAAACCGTGATACATTTTTTCAAGATTCTTTGATGAATAGAAAGTTAAAAATAACAGTATTTGTTTGCAATAGAGATAGAGATCTTTAGTAACATTTTAAATATATTTAATGTGTCATTTAATCAATTTAATGCAACCTTGCCGACTAAAAGTAAACTTTTTTTTTACAAACTTGACTAACTAAATATTTTGCTATAAAAAAATAAGACCTAAACACATCACGAGAGAGAATAGTTGAGGAGAGTGTGTTTGATTATTTGTGTGCGCAACACAATGAGACTTTTGAAAACAGCTGAACCACTGTCATGCTACTGAAATTTTTCTGTACAGAACACTATTATGTATAATGGATTCTTAAATAACTTTCATTCTGACTCATATGCTCCTGCTCTCTCTTATCGGCCACACAGAAACATAAACACATTGTGCAGTAATTAATCACAGAGCCACTGTCTGCAAACTGATACAATATGGCCCATTGATTATGCCATGACCTCAACTGGCCTGTCGGAGATAAAGGTATGCCTGTTAATTGGACCAGTTCTTTGGTGTCAAGTTGCTCTACTATCGTTCAAGCAGATTCATTTCCATCTGAAAAACAGGCTCTAGTTCTTGACAATAAAAGCGCAATAAAATTACTTCCTCAACTGATACAAGATACAGAGGATGTGACTGACAGGAGACAGTTTAACAAAGGTCAGCTGTGGTGCAGTGGTGACATTGTGCCATGGTGCTCAATCCCTATGGAAAAAAAGAGCGCTTAATTGAACTGAATGTGCTCATATCTTAAAAGCATATTTTCCAAAACGTTGTGAAAGCGAAACTACTTTGTTTGGCCTTCCAAAAGAGGACGATATCCGCTTCGTCATGCCTAGTGCTGATCCATGCTGGTAACTGAGGAAATACATCAACTTCTCGCTGTGGATCGCCGGATCGGCTTTCACCGTGGACGAAGCAGAGTCCAGCCCGGGGTCGTCACATGTGGTTGCCGCAAGCCCGCCGGCCGCGCCGTTCTCAAGCCCGCCGGCCTCCGCTCACTCAAGCCCGCCGTGTGTGACGCTGTGTGTTTCGTTGTGAAAGCGAAACTACTTTGTTTGGCCTTCCAAAAGAGGACACAACTAGAAATCAGTGGTTAAGTTGTATTTACAACACTGTTCCAGAACAGTTTAACCCAAATATTCAGATGTGTCCAGTGCATTTTATGGAGGACTGTTTCCTGATCCTGGTAGAGTAGACCAGGGGTTTTCAACCTGTGGGGCGCGCCCTGTTCAAGGGGGGCGGGAGCATCAGTTAATTCAGAAACGTTCCCTTGAGAATTTATGAATATGAGTTAACAAATCTTTAGCCATCCACTAGGGGGCAATCTGACTCCCACTGCTAGTCGACAGTTAGAGCAGAGTTGGCTCGAGTATCAGTCACGTTCAGTGTTGCCAAGTCCGCGGTTTTCCCACGGAATTGGGCTACTTTAACATATGATGACACTTTTTTAAAGTGTACTTTGTATTAATTAGTATATAATTAGTATATTATTTCCGTAAGTTCTCTAATAAATATGCTATAGTGTTTTCATCTTTAAAGCTGTCAAGCTCCAAAAAGGACAAAAAACATAATAGTAAAACAACTTGTGCACTAAATTCCAACTCATCTAAACCCATATAATGTATTATATACTTTCCTATGCAAAGAAAAAGAATGAAATCTAAAATATTATTTACTAAATATCTTTCCTTCTGCACTAGTTTTCAGGATACAGATCTTCCTTTTCTTCTTTACTTCATATGAGTGTGCTACACTTCCTGCTGCATGCAAATACTGTTAACGTATCGCAAATAGCAGATGGTACATTTGAATGGTGTTTTTTTTTTCCTTTTTGGAGCTTGACAGCTACTGGTCGCTGTCCACTTTTATTATATGTAAAAGAGCTACTGTAGAGAACTCCGTATGAGTTCTAATGCAAAGAAAAATATAATGTGTTTCACTAAGCGCTCTGTAAATGATGACAGTTTTCATTTGTGGGTGAACTATCCTCTTTACATTCTCCCCATTAACCTTACAGTGTCTGGCTGTTCCTCACCTGCTCCCGTAGGCAAATGTACTGTTAGATGAGGTAAATGTGTATCTGACCCATTCTGGGCCCAGCAAGAAAGAGAGACAGCCTGCAGGGTGACAGATGGCGAGGGCCAAGCGTCAGGGACTCGAGGACGGAGCGGCATCAATCCACTTCACTCCTCCACCACCACCTCCTCTCTGACCCCTTCATCCCTCCTTCCAGACTAGGACACAGCTCCATCTCTACCATCATTTTCCCATCCCTGAGAACCACGCGTAAGGATACACAGCAGGACAATACAAGGCCAGCCGTGCACCACAACACAGATGCTGACTGACTCGCTTTGACCTCTTAATTCATGGACTGGGAGCTGTGAGGGGTTATGGGGCACCTCCACATGGAGAGAAGCGGCCTGGGGTCACAGACTGGCCTCAATTAATGCTGATCTGAGGATTATGAACTCTAATGAGTCCAGACTGCCACTAGTTATAAAACTTTCTTCAGTTACTGGATAAAAAAGCGGTTGAATACAGTAAAAAGTACAGTATACAGTAATATTGTGAAATATTATCATTTAAAATAACTATTTTCTATTTTAAAA